GCTCTCGAACTCGCATCCCACCCGCCCCCAGGTCTTCGTGGAGCTGAACGAGCTGATGCAGGACAAGAACCAGGAGCTGCAGTGGAAGGAGACGGCCCGCTGGATCAAATTCGAGGAGGACGTGGAGGAGGAGACGGACCGCTGGGGCAAGCCCCACGTGGCCTCCCTCTCCTTCCGCAGCCTGCTGGAGCTGCGCCGGACCCTCGCCCACGGTAGGCGGGCGGGGTGGGGGGTCGCGACCCCGGAGGGGACCCTAGGGCGGGGGGCGACCTCTGGGTCCCTGGCCCGGGCCTTCGACCCTCCTCGGCCGCGGGCTGTTTGCAGGGAGGGGGCAATGGGGGGGTGTGGCCAGGGGGAGGAGCCTTTCTCGTGCGGGAGCAGGGGGGGTGGACTGGAAGACCTCCGGGGTCCCTTCCAGCTCCTGTTCTGTTTTCTGTTCTGGTCTGTTTACTATTCTGTCCTAGTGTTTATTCTATTGTTTTCTATTTTCTGTTCTATTCTATTATCATTATTTTATCTATTCTATTCTATTCTATTTGTTCTATTCTATTCTATTCTATTTTCTATTCTATTCTATTCTATTCTATTCTGTTTATTCTATTTATTCTATTCTATTTTCTATTCTATTTTATTCTACTTTTATTTCTATTCTATTCTATTCTATTTTATTCTATATGTTCTGTTCTATGTTTTAGTCTATTCTATATTCTATTATTATTCTATTCTATTCTATTTGTTCTATTCTATTCCATTCTATTCTATTTATTCTATTCTATCCTATTTTATTCTACTTTTATTTCTATTCTATCCTATTTTATTCTACTTTTATTTCTATTCTATTCTATTTTATTCTATTCTATATGTTCTGTTCTATGTTCTATTCTATTCTATATTCTATTATTATTCTATTCTATTCTATATTCTCTTTATTCTGTTCTATTTTATTCTATTCTATTCTATATTCTTTCTATTCTATTTTCTATTCTATCCTATTGAATTCTATTCTATTCACATTCTATTCTATTATATTCATGTTCTATTCTGTTCTGTTCTATTCTATTATTTTCTATTCTATTTTCTATTCTATTATTTTGTATTCTATTTTCTATTCTATTCTGTTCTGTTTTATTCTATTTTTTACTTTTTGTTCTATTTTCTATTCTATTCTATTCTATTTTCTATTCTACTCACATTCTATTCTATTCTATTCATATTCTATTCTGCTCTGTTCTATTTTCTATTCGATTTTCTGTTCTATTATTTTCTATTCTATTCTTTCTATTCTATTCCATTTGGTTTTATTCTATTTTTTATTTTTTTATTCTGTTCTTTATTTTCTATTCTATTGTATTCCATTCCATCTATATTCTATTCTATTCTATTCTATTCTATTCTATTCTATTCTATTCTATTCTATTCTATTCTTCATTCCATTATTCTATCCTATCCTATCCCGTTGTTAATCCTACCCTATTCTTAATTCTATTTTAAATTCTATTCCATTCCATTCATTCCATTCTCACCTGAGTTGAGAAGGAAAGGTGGAAAAAGGGGAAGGGGGGTGTGTGTGGGCAGGATTATTATTATTATTATTATTTATTGAATTTATATTGGGGGGGGCTAACCGGCTCCTTCTGCCTGGGCTGATGGGAGGAGAGCCGAGGCAGGTCCTGGGTGGGGGGGCTCTGCAATCAAGGCTGGGGGGGCGGAGCAAAAGCCGAGCCCTCCCCCCACCCGCGTGGGGGAGCATTAATCCCAAAGGGAAACTGAGGCTGGAGATGGATCGGAGAGCGTCCACTTAGTCTTCGAATCGGTTCCCTATCCAGGAGGGGAGGACGCCCGCCGGAGGGGAGGGGCCAGGAGCAGCCGACACGGGGTGGACCCCACTGACCGGGGAGGGGGGGGATGTCCTACGGTTCTCCCCGAGGGGACCGCAGGACGCTCCCCCCCTCCCCAGGGCAGTAGGTGGGGCTGCTTGAGAGTGCCCTCCCTCCCTCCTCTCCCCTCCCCTCCCCTGTCCTCCCCTCCCCCCTTGCAGGCGCCGTCCTGCTGGACCTGGACCAGAAGACGCTGCCGGGGGTGGCCCACCAAGTGGTGGAGCAGATGATCATCTCCGACCAGATCCGCGCCGAGGACCGGGCCAACGTGCTGCGGGCGCTGCTGCTGAAGCACAGGTGAGGGCCTGGGCGGGGGCGGGAGGAGCCCCCCTACCCGGGGCCAAAGGAGAGAGGGGAGGCAGGGAAGGTCACACACACACAGACACAGACACAGACACACACACACCCGTCCGTCGCCCGGACGAAAGACCCGGACTGGGCCGGGATCGCCCCGTCCGGCCTGCCAGCTTGCCCGAAACCCATCTCCCTCCCTCCCTCCGGTTCTGCTAGGGGGAGACCGCAGACGCTGCCCAGGGCAGAGCTTGATGCGCCGTTGCTCTCTCTCCCTCTCCCCTCCCTCCCTCTTTCTCCCTCTCCCTCTTTCTCTCCCTCTACTCTCCTCTCTCTCACTCTCCCCCTCCCTCTCGCTCTCTCTCCTCCCTCTCTCCCTCTCTCTCTCCTCTCCCCCCTCTCTCGCTCTTTCTCTCCCTCTCCCTCCCTCTCCCCCTTCCTCTCCCTCTCCTGTCTTCTTCTGTCTCCCTCCCTCTCTCTCCACCTCCCTCCCTCTCTCCCTCTTTCTCTTCTCTCCTTCTCCGTCTCTCTCGCTCTTTCTCTCCGTCTCTCCCTCTCCTCTCCTCTCTCTCCCTCTCCCCCTTCCTCTCCCTCCTCTCTTCTTCTCTGTCTCCCTCCCTCTCCTCTCCCTCCCTCCCTCTCTCCCTCTCTC